GGTTTACTTCTTGTTTCTCTTTTTCCATCTTTTGATCAAATACATTTATAAGGCTAAGAACTGAAAAATGGTTATCTTGTTTTAGTTTTTTTACTTTTATTGTCAGACCACATGAAATAAATGCTAACTTACAAAGAAATGAATATATTTAACCTTTGAATTGCTATGGCTAGTTTCATTATGAGAAATTTTTCTCTATACATTTCTTATTTGGCTTTTAATATTATTATTTTCTCTTCACATTCATTACTTGTAGTAGATAAAGAACTCAAAAATTTATTCTATTCATTAATCAATACTTTATTAAAGATTTTAGTTCTTAACATATTACTGTGAATTTTTATTGATACTGAATCTCCTTTAATTAAGATATTTGTGTAATTATTTGTCTTTTTCTAAAGTTTTTTAAATTATTTTGCATTAAATATGAGCCAAAGTAAATAAAATTACATTATAAATTATTATCTAATCATCATTATTGTTATGTTCTTTACTTAACTATTTAATAAAAAATAAATATTTAGTTTAGATGATGACTATAATTAAAACTTATTAGACTGTTTAAATTATATTTTGAAACCAGTTTTATTTTTCATATGTTAAAGCCAGTTTTAATCAGATTTAATATAGAAAAATAAAACTAGTCCAAGCTCTAGTTCTAATATATATTGCAGAGTGGATTGGTTTTATTGATCAATTAAATCATGTGATTATTCTGTGTTGTAGTTAGTCATTTAATTTACTTTAATTTAAGAAGTTCTTACTTATGAAGATTGAATATATTTATTTAAAATATCATCTCTATGATCAATTAAATTTACAAATTGCAGAGAATTTAAGCTTTCATCTGCTTCAATATCTTTAAAATTACTATGTGATGATTTTTTTTTAAATTACAATTTTACTTTAATACAAAATAGATCTATGCATATTATAATTTAATTATGAATTCCTAACCTGTGTCTCAATTTCTTGATCATCTTCTATTTATGAACTTGTTTTAAGAAATAAGAATGTTATTATAAGGAAAGTGACTGTTAGCATAGTTATTAGTAATTTTAATAATTTATCTTAATTATAAATTCCTATTTAACTATTAATCTTTGACTAGATTTTTAAAGCATCTTTATTTATTTTATGAATGCACTTCAATAATAAACTGATAAGATTCGTTAGATTTTCCAAAACATACATTTTTTTTATTTATAAAATTTTAAAGATATCAAAAAAAAGGAAATAAATAAATTATTTGAATTTATCAAGTAAAAAAAGGGTAGGAAAAAGAATACCTGAAGCTGATTTTAATGGTATGAGTTTATATATGTTTTATATTCTTAAACCTACACATTTAAAATTATAAATTTATATACTTATATCATATTTAGTAAATAAAGAAGTATGTGATTCAGAAAAATTATTTGGTAAGTTTAAAAGAATTTACTCATGTTTAAATTAATATCACTAATTTTAGAAAATTCTAGATGCCACCATAAACAAAATTGAAAAGAATAGGCCTTTCTCTTAAAAAATAACTTAAGAAATAGTTAATTAATAGTATATAATGATAGGCTTTTTTTAAAAAATTCAATTGAAGATCTTTTAACCACAAATTTTAATAATATTTTTTATTAAACAAAGTAATTAATTTTTCTACTTCATTACCTTCTTACTTGATAAATAATATCAAATCATTAGAAAACTATTTTAAACAATGGTCTATTTAGTATGATGAACTTAATTCAACAAAACTCAAGTTAAAGAGAAATGTTAGAAATGTTATATGAACTTAGGGATGCATATCTAACACTCTCGTAATGCTATCAAATGGATATAAACAAAAGATGACAAGACTTTCAACTTAGAAAACCCTGCATGGTTTTGTTAAAGAAAAGATCAAATCAATTTTAAATATTAATGATAGACAGAAGAGAAAATATTAAAGAGGAACATGAATACTTATAGAGCTACTCAACATAATGTAGCATTGTCTAGTATCAATTCTTATAGAATCTGGCATTATGGCCAGATATCTGATGACATGTAAAAACAAAACATACAACCAGTTCTTAAAAGATCTTTTGAATGATACTGGAGCCAGTCACAAAACTCTTATATTCAATGATTCTTTGATTTAGAGGTTAGTATATAGTAATCATATAATTTTATAGTTCTATAGGACTGCTAAATCATGTGATTGAAAATAAAAATTTATTGATATGTAATATTAATGCATATTTTATTTCTAAGCATTAAAAATAATGACCTTATATTTTAAATTGGGCTATTGCAAAGATGTGTTGCATTATTTTTTTCATATATACAAAGAATAATAATAATTATTGGATTATATAAGATAGTAATATCGAGTAATTTTTTATGGTTAAAAAATAGCTTATGAATTTGTATAAGTCTATTAGTTTTAAAGGCTTTTTTTAAAATTTATTTTAAAAGTTTATTATTTTGGCTCTGTACAAACTTATTTATTGCTTTGTTGATTGTTATATACTGTATGATATAAGTTGTATTAATAAATAATGTTTTTTATAAAAATTATAAATATAACTAATTTGTTTATTTTTAATTATTTGAGAAGGCTTGCCTTATGACTTTAGTTGATGCTAAATAACTACTGTAATCTAATGATTTATAATTAAAATCAAAAACTTGCTTATTGTTGAAATCAGCAACTACCTATATTATTCTTTTTGAATAAAATCTTAATAAAAATGTTCTTTCTATATTTAATATAAAAAAACTTTTAAGCTAGACAAAATATGAAATTCTTCAGTTTTGGGTAGATATTACAAAACTAATACTAGTAAGATTTCAAGCACAACTTAGGTTACAAATTATATAGAGTTTCTTTAGCATTAGTATTAATCATCTGGAATTTTAATTTTTAATCCAGAGTATTACAATACATGTCCTATCAAGTGTGCAGACTGCTATATATTCTTGCATTGATTGGTACAACTAATAACTATCATGAATTATCTAAAAAATATTTCAGAAGTTCAGATTAAAGAAATTCTTTTACAATTAGAAATTAAATGAAAAGAAAAATTATCAAATTATATATGAACTTTTCAGTACATTTTTTTAGATTTATTAGTTTATTAATATTTTAAATTAATATATATTCAAATTATAGGTGAATACTAAGCCATAATGGTTTTTCAAAAAGCTAAAGACCTTGGCAAAATAAAAGAAAAGCTTCTAGAACTTCCTATAACTGACTCATTTTATTGCTTTATACTAAATTTTACAACAAAATTTGGAAGTCTATTTATACAAAGAATGCTATTTTACATATTGAAAATGACTACTTATTTAAATTTTCAACAGAGCAATATGAAGTCATTAATAATGCTATAAATTTGGTATTTAAAAGATATGATTCAAACTTTGAATTATTGAATAATAAAAATAGGTAAAATATAATCTGCAATTTACTGTACATAGTGATAGCTAATTTATATTAATTAACCTACAGTCTCTATCGACATTATACTAATATAAGAATAAATTATATTAATATTATAAAACTAGCACTGGAATAATGTGACTATTTTATTATGTAATATTCTTTGAAAAGAAATTGAATTTGATAATAAAAGAATTAACATTAAGCTTTATGATCACATGCCCAAATTCAAATACAATAAAGCAAACTATTTAGAAAAATATAAATGTAGCTATTGGCAAAATTCTAGCTTACTATAGATTTTTTTTAGCAATATTTACTAAGTACAATATTTTTTTACCTTTAATATTTGAAAAATTAGAGAATTCTTTCTCTAATAATTTTTTAATGAGAAAGTTGTATTTATTTTTTGTAGCATAAAGAAAAAAATATGCATCCAACTTTATGTCAATTATTTCTTTTAGTGTAACATTTGTTATCCAAAGAAAATAGTATAGTCTTCAACATCCCATCCATTTTTTTAGCATTGAACATGAATTAATATTCCAGAGTTTGTTTATTCATAATTTAATATTCCTCTCCTTCCAATTATCTGTATTTTTTTTTAACACTTTTTTATTATTTTGTTTTTAATAACAAATCTTTAACAAGTTAAAAAAAACTTCAGATAATAAATAAATAAGTTTTAACATTTTGTACTTCTGGTTTCTGATTTCTCTTGTACAATAATCAAAATGAGAATTGCAACTTTGAAGATAAGCAGTACAACTATTGACATTTTTCATTAGCACTGGCAATGGTTCTGGTTCTAATGATAATATCGAGGCTTTATTAAAATATCTGTTAACAGGCTGAGAGTACATTTTAGATATTTTTGTTGGGTCTTGAAATACAAAAGTTTTAGGCATTCCCTTTTCTCTCCTTTTTTTCTTTAATAAATTAATATAAACTGATTGCATTATAGTGAATTTATAAGTTAATTGTTCGAAAAAAATTTAATATAAAAAAAAATATATTTAATATGTATATATTCACATACTTAATACTTTTCTTTTATTCTTTTCATGAATATTAGATTCTTTTGCTTCAACAATTGCATATTTTCTTTTCTTTTTAGGAAATTCATTCTTTTTGTGATTATTAAAAAAAGTTAATCTTAAGTATTATAAGTTTTTTATATGACATTATATCAAAATTGAATAATTAATTTTTGGGTTAGTTAGTAAATTATATGTATTTTTACTAATCAGGCTGTTTACTTCTGAAATCAAAACCAAATCTGAAGCTTCTAAAGCTGAATCTGAAGCTTCTAAAGCTGAATTTGAATCTTCTAAATCCGAATCTAAAGCTGAATTTGAACCTTCTAAAACCAAATCTAAAGAATCTTAAGTCTCTAAATATTTAAAACATAATTTTAAATTATTAATTTAGTGTTTTGATTGGTGATGTAAAAGATTAGTTTACCTATTGATTTTGTTTTCTTTCTTTGAATAAACTTGTAAAATATTAAAAAAACAAGCTAAAATTATAGCATACATTATTTGTTATAGGTTTTATACATACTGAATCTACATTTCTACTTCTCTTTAACTATAAAAATAAAACTGAAATAATTAATTTATCTATAAAATTCAATTATTGTATTGATGCTTATGCAATCATTAATATAAAAAATACTTGCTGATGAAGGTTCCTCTGTAATAAGAATGTATAGATTTGGAAAATTCTTTAAATTGTTATTAATACTATAAATAGTTTTGTGCTTTTTTATGTTTAAAAATACTTGAATAATTGCTCTTCTAATTAGTAGAATTTAAACTAAAATTTTGATTTATTTACCTCATTATTTCTTTCCTTATATTCATCATCAATATCTATAGTTCTGTGTGTTAAATTCTAGAACAATTTTTTTTAAATAATTAAAATACTTGAATTAACACTAATTAATTTTAAAAAAATAAATTAATAAATTCAAACTAAATTTTTGATTTATTTACTCTATCATTGTTAACATCTGTAGTTTCATATAATAAATTCTAAATCCATTTTTGCAGTTAAAAATATTGAATTAATTTAAGAATTCAAAAAACAAACATATTTACCTGATCATTGTTATTATCTTGAATATTTATATTTATATTGCATGATAAATTCTAGAATCATTTAGATGTATATAAAAATATTTAAATGATTATTCTTCAGACTAATAAAAAAAGTTTAACCTAATAATACTTACAACAATATTTTCTATTTCACTCTTTTAATTATTAGAGTAAGTTGGTTTCATTACTTTACAATTCTAATTTGTATTAAATTATTGAT